CAGAAAGACATTTGGGGAAAGCCAGTACAATCACAACCTGGACAACAACAAAATCCAGTACAACAACAACAAAATACACAACCTCAGAAAGATGTTTGGGGAAATCCAGTACAATCACAACAACAACAAAACACACAACAACAAAAAGACATTTGGGGAAATCCAGTACAATCACAACAACAAAACGTAACACAAAATCCCTTTGGACAACAACAAAACGCACAACAACCACAAAAAGACATCTGGGGAAATCCAGTACAGTCACAAAACACACAACCACAACCTCAGAAAGACATTTGGGGAAATCCAGTACAGTCACAAAACACACAACCACAACCTCAGAAAGACATTTGGGGAAATCCAGTACAACAACAAAATGGAACACAAAATCCCTTTGGACAACAACAAAATGGAACACAAAATCCCTTTGGACAACAACAAACATCCTTTAATCAATTTCCACAACAACAAAATCCTTTTTCTCAATTTTCTAAATTGGCAAATGGTTCTACTAATACACAAATGAGCTTCAGTCGTATTGATCCTGCTGCTAGAGCTGCAGGTATTCAACAAACAAATCCACTTGATGCTTTCAAAAATGCAGGATTATTTAAATGAATTTTTTAGAAAGTTATTTTTAGAAAGTTATTTTTAGAAAGTTATTTTTAGAAAGTTATTTTTAGAAAGTTATTTTTAGAATAGATACCTTGTCTCATTCACTAATCTTGAAAAAGATGAAGATGAGTGATTGTGTTGCACCAACATCATATAACTACTTGTTCAAGATACTTCTTGTTGGTGATCCTAATGTTGGGAAAAGTTCATTACTCTTACGATATATTGATAATGTATTTAATGAAGATACTACTACATCTATTGGTGTTGATTTTAAATTTAAGTCTATACTTATTGATGATGTAATTGTCAAATGTCAGATATACGATACAGTTTGTTAACTTTTTATGTTCTACATCAACAACCATTTACAAAAAGGCAGGACAGGAAAAGTTTAGAGAAATAGGCAATTCATATTACAATGGGGCACATGCAGCTCTGTTAGTCTTTGATGGTGGGGATGTTTCTACATTCCAAGTGCTTGAGATATGGCTACGAGATATCAGAAAATATAACACCAATATCAAAATACTTCTTGTTTGTAATAAATGCGACCAACCAGTAAACATCCCTGAAGGAACTATTAGTTTATATGCTAATGAAATTTCTGAAGAAGGAAAATGGATAAAAACATCAGCAAAAAATGGAGAAGGTGTTACTGAAGCATTTGAAACAATGATTAGAATGTTATTACCAAAGAAAGATGATGAAAATGGAATTAAAAAGCATAAAAAGAAATGCATTTTCTTCTAAGACATAAAAAATGATAATTAAGTAAAGAATAAACAAGAAACTTTTTAAAAATAATCAACACTTATATTTCATTAAAAATCAAAAACAGAACTTTTTGGTTGAGCGTATTTTGCAAAAGTCCAACGTTTTCTAAGAGTTTCGTTGCTATTTATTTCTTTTTTAGATGGTCTATATGTTGTTTCTGATGCTTTTTTAGTGTACAAGATAGTTCCTCTCATATTTCCATATTCATGGAGTTTCTACAATGTTAATGAGTAATAATAAACATAAAAAAATAACAAACAGCAAGTGCTTCAAATGGAACATTAAGACATTCTGAGAAAGTAATTACAGGGTTATAACTTTGTTTTGTATGATTACATGTTGTATGAAGAGAGGCACATAAATCACAAATAAACACACCATAGTCCAAGTCAACATACGAAGATTGACGATCAGAACAATCTGTACATATTTGATTATGAGGCTGAAGAAGAAGCATTCTAAGGTATTTATAATTTTCATCATCTGAAGGAGGAATGTCATCAAAAGAAGTCCATGTTTTTAGAAGATTAATATTAAATTCATTAACATTAAATTCATGAAGATCAAGTACCATTCTACAATTCTTATAAAAAGCATTTCTTAATAAAAATAACCAAACAAATTTACAATGATTATTTTCTGTAGCAAAAATGTAAGTATAATTTTTATAATTCATTTCAAAAGAATATTTTCTTGTAGAAATTAATAATCCTTTAAACTTTAATTGAAGAATATCAAATACTAATATTGGTGGTTGAAGTGTTGCAGCAGATTCACCACTAACAAATAAACAAACAACATTTCCATGAAGCATCATATAAAATTCTTCCCAAGAATTATTTGTTTGATTAAAATATTGAATAGTATCTTCATATTCTGGATGAATAAGAAATTCTGTTTTATTAAAAGCTTCAATGTCAATACTTTTTAATTGGTATTGTAAACTTTCAATTCTACTAATTAATTTTTGTTGTTGTAAAGAGAAAATACCATCAATCTCATGCATCCAAGTAATTTTATCTTCTTCTGATTCAGCTTGAAGAATAAAACATTTTTCAGGAATATTAATACAAAATGTAGTAACATCATTTGGCACATCCATTAAAGTAACTTGTCTTAAATCAATAACATGATAAACCTTAGTTTTATTTTTTAAATTTTCACTAGGAATATCCCCAACTTCTTCTCTTTTAACTTTAGTCATTAAGAAATAATCATTTAATAAAAAACAACAAAATTCTTCTAATTTTTTGGTTTTTCTAATTAAAAATCCTTGATGAACAATTTTTCTTTGAACGTCTTTACTTGGTTGAAATTTTTTTGGGAATGATAATTTAGAAAATAAATCATTAACTGCTTTTTGATCTGTATTCTTTTTCATACAACTATTTAAATGAAAAATTGCTTCTCTTATTTTTGAAATACAATTTTTTAATTCTAAGTCTTCTTCATTCCACCAACTAGGTAAATTATCTCTAACTGCACCAAGTAATAATTTATAACGAGGTGGTCTTTGAATAGGACGAATTAAATAATTATCAGGTGGTGTATTTTGAAGAAATTCTTTAGATAATTTTTTAACGAGGGATTTAATAGTATTATTATCACTTTCATAAAATGTTTTTAAAGGGAAATAAATATTCATATAAGTAGTATAATATGATAAATATTTTATAAAAACATTAAAAGCAGAATAAATTTGTTTTCCATAACTATCTTTTTTAATAATATCTTCAAGGTTTTTAAATAATAATTGATTACAATTAATCATTGTTTCATTTACTAATTTTGCTTGATTAACAATATCAATTTTTGGTAATAATTCTTGTGTTTTATCTATCATTTGTTTAATAATATTTAAATCATTTAAATATTTTTTTTCACTCTCTAAAATTTCTCTAACTGCAAATTTTAAATTTTTCGTTCTTTGATACATTTTACTACTACGAAATTGATATCCTCTTATAATTGATTGAATTTTTATTACATTTTCTTCTTTTTCTTTAATTAATTTTTGAATATTGTGAAGATGTTGTTTGTGTTCAATTAATTTTTGTTTATATTCATTAATTAATAATTTGCTTCTAAACATTGATTGAATAAAACAAATAAGAGTTGTCTCACTTAAATCTAATGGTTGTAATATATTTTCTCCATCAATAATATCTGTTACAGTATAATAAATTCCATTCATTAAAAATATATTTTTTGATACTTCTTTAATTTCTTCTTCAACTTTATTTGTTTCTTCTTCAGATGTTCTTTTAACAATACATTTTAATAAATCTTGATCTTCTTTTTCATCAAATTCAATAAATGTTTCTTCTTCATTATCTGATCTGGGTGATGAAATGTTTGATGAATAATTAGAACCTATAATATCTTCTGTATTATTTTTTGGTATATTTTCAATATTAGGAATAGTAATTGAATCACATCTATCAATTTCTTTTTCATCTCCTGAATTATCTAATTCTACAAATTGTTCTTCTTCACTTATTTCAGGTGTTTTATTTTCGTTAACATTTTCATTAATATTATTATCATCTTTACTTCTTATTTCAATTTCTTTATCAATTTCTTTATCAATTTCTTTAATTGTTTTTAACTCTTCTTCTTTTTTAAATGAAGATGATTCTTTTTGTTTTAACCCTTCTTTTTTTAATATATTTTTTTCAGACTTAATTTGACACACTGCTACAGATGATGCTCTTTTTCTTTCAATACTTCCATTTCTAATAGCAATAACTCTACTTTTCTTTTTTGTTGGTGTACCAAATCCAGTTTTTGGTCTTGATGGCAGATTCATTGCTAGTTGTTCAATAACACACCCCGAAGAACTTTGAAGTGATTGAGAAGGATGAGAAGATTCAAGAGTAATTCTTTTGTCACTCTTTTTTGAATGAGCAATTGGATTTAATAATGACATAGTACGTTCTCTAAATTGGTTTTGTTGTTGTTTAATAAGAGTAGTTCCAGTCATTTGAATAACACCATCTTTACGAGTAGTAAAAGCTCTTTTTCTACTAACTGAGCCATCTTTAGCAGATGATTCAAAAATAGAAAAATTAGTAGTAATTTTCATTAACCTTGTTTTTTCTTCAAAAATTTTTAAATCTTTTCTAATTTTTATATACTGTTGTTTTCTTCTTTCTTTTTCAAATTTTCTTTGGAGTTTAATAAAATTTAAAAATGACAATGTTTGGTCTTTATTTCCATTAGCAATACAACTAACTGAAATACCTTCAATCTCTCCATACTTATCACTAATCATTTTCATTGCAGATTCTATATTTTGAATTCTTCCTTTAATATTCGTTGTGTGTTTATACGTTGACTTTTTTGTATGTGTAATTTTACTACATAATTTTATTAAAAGTACTCCATCTCTGAAATCTTTCTCAGTATTTAAAATTAATTCTTCTGGTAAATGTCGACGAACCCAGTCAATTAATTGTTGTTCTTGTATATCACTAAACGACATGGGAATTTATATTTTTAAGAAATTTCTTTTTTTTTTCTTTTTTAATAATAATAAAAATTACTAATTTGATTTTTGTTTTTAATGAAACTAAAAGTTGATTTTTGTTACAAATCATTTTATTTATTTAATTTTGTAAAGCCTCAATCATATCTTCACATAAATAAAGAATCCACATAATTGCTTTATAATAATTTTCATAATATAACATTTCTTTAAATGATAAGAAAGTTTGTTGAATGTCTTTAAAAAGAGACAAATATGGTTTTGGAACTTTTTTAATATTAAGATTCTTTAATGTTAAAAGAATGAAAGAGAGTTTAATTTCTATTAATTCAGTAGATAAATTAGATACAAGAAATGTTAATAATGATAATAAGACTTCTGTTTTAAATGTTGTTTGACAAAATATATCAACAGGAATTGATTGAAGATAAGCAAGAAGTAATGCATGATTATTAATTAATAAAATTTCTTCTATGTCTAATGCAATAGAACGATGCTTTGAATCTTTTATTTGAATAGAAGAGTTTTGAGTATTTAATTGTTCTATAAAAGAATTTAAATTCATTTGATTTTGTTTTAATTCATTAAGCATTTTTTGTTTTTCAAGAATAATTTGGTTAATTGAAGGTAATAATTGTTCTGTAGTTTGTATTTTAGTAAGAATACGAGCACTATCTATTTTTTGCATTTCATTTACAATGTTTTGAATTTTATCCATTTCAATTTGAGAATGTTCAATATCGTT